TCAATATAAAATAAAATTTACAAAAATATGAATGTGTATAGCAAGTATTTATATATTCTTTATCATAATTACTTTATATAACTCTCTGATATGGTTATAATATAACTATTATATTGATAGTAATAACGTAAGAAGTTGCATTTTGAGGTGTTTAATCATTGAATATTATGACTAAATCCTTTATAAGAGATTATATAGTTTATTATTAAAAAAAATCTGATTGTTGTATTTCAGTACTATTTATACGATATTTTACCACCAATAACATTACATATCTTATATCTTATCATTTATTATTTTTTTATTAAATGTATCAAATACTCCCAATTTTTACTAACTACATTAAGGTAGTAGGAGCTTAGTTATAGGAATTATATTTTAGCTTCATAAAAAGAAAACAAATGTAGATTGTTGAGTAAAATATTAATTGTCAATTAATAGAAAATTTAATAAAAATGAAACAATAAATTATTTTTAATTTCCTAAAATGAAAACAAAGATAGACTATAGAATAAAATATGACTTCTCAATTAATAGGAAATTTAATGAAAATAAAACAATAAATTACAAAATGAAGCATGATTCTTTAACTAACTGATAATTTAAGAAAAGTCAAATAAATAAATCATAAAGGGAATGGAATTCCTTAAGAAATACTAAGAAAAGAGATGTTAATTATTTATAATTCTTAACTAATTTTTTTCTTGAGTTTGCTCACTCTTATTGGGTTAACAAAAGTTTAATTGAAGTTCAGTCATGCAAAATATTTACCCTAATTGTTAAAGATCTTAAAGTATTAGAGTTTGATAGTATCATTTCAACTTCTCATATAAAAAATATAGTTAAAAATATTTACAATATTTAATCCCAGTAAATACTACACCGACGCATGAGATTATTGTGCATCAACCTGATTATGGAGATATAATGATTTACGGGCCATCTTTCAATTATAATCACAATTCATTTGATTTATTTCTTATCAAAATATTAATTAATTCTTAATTCAAATTTGTTTTATATCAATTTTGTGTTTAAGATCTCATAATATAGAAGTAAATCACCGCATGTATGGTCTAACCAATTGTGAAAAAGTCTAGATTGTAGCGCCCGGACCGAGAAGAAAAAAAAAAAAAAAAGAGCCACGTCGGCAGCCACGTCAGCAGGCCCGGTCAGCAGTCCCGGCCAACCGGGGCCTGCCACGTGGCAAGACCACGTCGCTCCGAAAAGGGGCCACGTTGGCGATCCGCGTGGGTGCGATCGGAGGGCCCAGATCAATCGCGCGATCAGACGGCCCAGATGCAATCGCACGGACGGCCCAGATTCAATCAAAAACGAACGGCCCAGATTAAAACAAAATGAACGGTTGAGATCAAAAGGCAAGGGGTTATAAATAGAACCCCCACACCAGACCACAAACCCTAGCCGCCTGCCGCTCGCCGGAGAAGACAAACCAGAAGCCGGCCGCCGCCACCCGCCGCCGCGCCGGGGAAATTTCCGACCGCCGATCGAGGTAAATTTCATACCCCCGACTCATTTTTCCACGTTGATTCCTCTTGTGGCCAAATCGGAGCCAAAATCCCGGCCAAACGGCCGGAATACGAGGCCGAAGGCCAGCGGCGCCGCCGCGCCCCCTCTCGGTTTTTGCCTCCGATGAGGCCTTTCCCGGCCTCCGTTTGATGCAATTTTTATATCACCGTGATCACCATTCTTTTCTCTACAGGTTGACCGGAGCCGAATCACCAAAACACGAACTTTCGCCCGGAGAGCCGCCGCACCCGAGAGCGCCGCCGCCGGGTAAGCTCCGTTTTTTCCGTGATTTTTTTGGCCCCCCGA